CAATCAACTTAAAAAATGAAGAGAGTCGGGGGGGGGGGAGCGGAGAGGATTGGGTGGGGGGGCAGGGGGAGGATGGGAAGGGATGGGAAGGAGGAGGCTACAATGCTTGATAAGAAATGTACTCATTATCTTGCCCATGTAATTGTAACCCCTCTGTACAGTATTTTCACAATAAAAAAAAAAATGAAGAGAGTTGTGTGCCAGTGGCTCATACCTGTAATCATAGCTACTCAGGAAGCTGAGATCTGAGGATCACAGTTTGAAGCCAGCCTAGGAAAGACCTTGAGACTCTTATCTCCAACCAACTACCAAGAAAACTGGAAGTAGAGCTGTGCCTCAAGTGGAAGAGTGCTATCCCTGAGTCTTTTTGCTCAAGGACAAGAGGAAGAAGAAGGGAGACAGAGAGACAGAAAGAAAAATGAAAATTTATTTGGGTTAAGTTCCTAGTTAGTTGGCTCTGGTGCTTGGGACTTGTGGTAAGACATGTGGCAGGAGTTTCCTGGTAGAGAAAACCATTTATCTCACGGCAAGTAAGTGGAAAAAAAAGGCGGGGGGGGGGGGGGGGGTGAGGATAGGGCTGGAGTACTACAACGCCATTCCAAGGCTTGGTCTTCATTGACCTAAAGATCTCCACTTGGCTCCACTTCCTAAACGTTTCATCACCTTCCCAAAAAGTTCCAAGCTGAGGACCAAGACTTTAGCACACAGGCCTTTAGCCCATGCTAGGTCCAAACCATAAGCATTCAGTTATTGTGATAACTGGACCATACTGGCGTTAAGAGCTTAACATAATAATAGGGGAAACTGGGTGTGGACGCATATGGGAACTCTTTGTACTATCTCAACCAATTGTTCTGTAAATCTAAATCTGTTCTAAAATAGAAAGATTAAAAACAAAAACAAAAACAACCCCAACCCAGTAGGTTGAGTATGGTAGTAAAAGTCTGTGGTACCAACAATCAGGAAGCTGAGAGAGGAGGATCATGAGTTTGGGGCTAGGTTGGGCTACATAGTGAGAACTTGTCTCTAAAAAGACAGCACAACACACAATGCGCCACAACACAACAAAACAATGGGGCTGGAGGAGTAGCTCAGTCATAACTCATTTAGCATATATGAGGTCATGGGTTTGATCCCAGAACTGCAAAAAAAACAAAAAACCCACAAAAACAAATAAACCAAACCAAAAAAAGTGTATGTCTGTGTGTAAGAAACACACACACACACACACACACATAAAGACAGAGAGACAGCGAAACAGAGAGAGAGAGATATTCTCCATCTCTATTTCCTTTGTTGGAGTGATTAGTTAATGACATTTGAAATGGAGATGGCATTTTTTACTCCAGAGATGTCACTTCACAGCTGGAACCAACCCTGCACCCATCTACTGGATTTGTATTAGGTGAGAAAATGAACCTTATTTAAGCTGTGTTGGGTCAGGTGACATTCATATACTGAAATCAAATGCATATAGATGTGTCATGGTCACCACTCAGGTTTATACCTTCATGGCGCATCTCATCTCTTTAGCCTGCTGCGGAATCTTTCCTTCCTAATCTCTAGGTGGCTCTCTTCTTCCTTTAACTGTACTCCTTGTCTACATCTTTTCCTAAGCTTAGTGGCCAGCATCTCTGGCCATTCCCAGGCAGGCACATTCTCTTATACTTTCAAGCTTGTGCACACTTGCTCATCTCTGCCAGTGACATCCACTCCTTCAGTCTTAACTTCTCCCTGCAAATACTAAATTGTCTCAGATTTCAGCTCATTATGGGTAGCAGGCAAGATTCTCAGATGTCCCTAAAGATACTTGCCCACTGGTATGTCTAGCTTATGAAGCCCTCAGTACTATGATTATAATGGTTTTTACTCCTGTGATTAGGTTAAGGTCTGTGACTCAGTTGACATTATTAGAATGTCATCCAGATCCTAATCTAAACATAAGCATTCTTTAAAAGCAGTTTCCTCTAGCTGGTAACAAAACAGGAAGTCAGAATGGGATTTGATGTGGAAAGGGAATTTGACATGCAAGAAATTATCTTTTGATTGTTGGCCCATCTATGTGGTCTGGGGTCATGGCCAGGAATTTAAGTAGTCTCAAGGAGCCAAAAGGAGGCACAGGACAATCCTTCAACCTCAAGGAACTTAATTCTGCCAATAATAAGAATGCTTGGAAGAGGATGTTTCTCAGGACCTCCAGATGAGAACTCAGTCCAAATGACACTTGGATTCTGGTTATACCTGTAGAAATTCCTCCTTAGTATTGTGATAGGTAGGCACTATTTGAAGCCACTAAGTTTATGATAATTTTTTCTTAAAAATACTTTTGCTCAGATTAATGTTGCCCAGACTGGACTCAAACTTTTGCTCCTCTTTTCAATTCCACTTATCAGCTGAATACCTGGGATTGCAGGCATGCACCACCATTCCCAGCAGTACCAGAAGATTTACATGCCATACTTCTAGTTTGAAGCTGTCCCTCATTTCCTCAGGAGCACTTGTGACACCATCCTTTCTACTGCTGCATAACCTGATACACACCTCTGAACAGTGCAAGTCATTCTGGATTTTAGTTAGCTTTTATACTTGTCCAATCTCTTGACAAGATTCTGAATCCCTTCGAGGTGGGAATGGTGTTATTTTATTACAGCAGTCCAAAGCATAGGAAGAAGGCAAGAAACAATTAATGAATGATGTTTTTGGATGAGTGAGCAGAGGTATGAGGAAAAAATATAAATTTCTAGCTTACTTGATAAACAAAAATGTATTTTTGTTTATCAATGCATGAAATGCGGTTAGGCTAGGACTATGGGAAACAAGGGAAGAGTTTAAGATTAAAAGTGACACACACACACAAGGTTCAGAATTCAGAGACACTCTTTTCTGAGATCTTAAATGTTTTTAAAAGATCTTAAAGGTTAGAATAAAAAGGGATCTTTTAAATTTTTATTTTTGTTATCTTTAAGCAGTTTTACAAAAGGGTTTCTACTAAACAAATCATGAATCTTTTTTATTGTTATGTTTAAGGAGTTGTACACAGGGGTTACAACTCCATGTCAGGTAATGAGTACAGTGCTTCTTGAAAAATTGTCCACCCCTTACTTCACTTTCCTCCATTTCCTCTCTCCTGTCCATGCTCACAAGTTTGTACAATGCATCTTGATAAGTCACCTCTTCCATTATTCTCCCCCACTTGCCCAAACCTACCCATACCCCAACCATGGTACCATTTTCCTATATGTCTACCGCATATGACTGCATTTTCCATCTTTCCTTTCTCCATCTGCTTGCTCTTCCTCCTCAACGATTCCCAAAAGACCAAGATTTTATGCATGTGTAAATTCAAAAGTCTTCCATTTTTAAAATAAGTAGGCATACATTGATTGCTCATTTAGCTCTGTAATTTTGTCCCTGTGCTGTTGATACCTCCATGAGTGGGCCAGTTATAGAAATTCCTGTACGGGGGAAACAGGTTATTTTGACCTTCCACAACACCTCAGGGCAGTTTCTGAGATCTCCAGGCCAGTTCCTTGAGCACTCGGGCCCCTGAACTGGGCAGTATTTTACGTCTGCCAGAAGCATGTTGAATCTCTCTCATTGCAAAAGTTGGGAGTCAAATTGTGGTCTGGCATACGCAGGAAGGGGGTGGAATCCAGATTAAAATGAGAAATCACATCGCAGTATCACAGGGCAGAATGGTACCGAAAGTTGTAAGGGGTATTTTCAAGGAGGGGAGGAGAGACGGGGAGAAAAGGCTTTGTAGGCCAGAACGAGGTAAAGACCCTCTGGATCCAGTTTAGGTACCCTAGGGAGCACCTCCAGTTCGAACTGGATTAATCTGCATTTTATTTCGTGGGCTCTGGAGAGCCAGGGAAGGAATCCATGGCAGAGATTCGGATTTCAGACTCTACCACTAGCTTTTCGGGGGGTGGAAGTGTGACAGCTCATGGCGGGGGGGGGGGGGGGGCGGGTTTCCACATCTGGTAACTGGAGAAGTAAGACCGTGCCAACCCACAAGGACGACACGAACTGAGCAGAAAACGCGTACAGTTTAGACGATCGGCGGGGACTGGCTTCAGGCTGGCTTCAGGTACAGCCTACGATCACCGGCGAGGTCTGTGCGGAGAGTCAGACTTCGCATGCACAACGACTGGCCCGGGATTTGGAGCTGGTCACTGCTGCTCTGCGCTCGCACAACCACCGTTCACTGGGGAGTCCCCGGTTTCGCTCTGCTGACGTCGGACGCAGACGCCCAAGGACCCAGGTGCGCGTGCACCGCGTCAGCGGACGGCGCTCGCCGCCGCCAAAGCCCGGCGGAGGGGGGCGGCACAGGGGCCGAGCCGGGACTGGGAACCCCGTGTCCCTGGGTGGGCGGGGCCGGCGTGTGCGTGGGCGCGGCGGCTACTGCGCAGGCGCCGACACGCTCGCCTGGATCGAGCGCGCGCCCGCGACCGGTTCCGCTCCCGGAGGGAGGAGGGCTGGCGCGCACCCGCGCGGCGGCCGTGGCGTGCGCCACTCTACGCCCGACGTCACGGGTCGGTGTGTAGTGGCGGCGGGGCTGCCCTCAGCTGCGGCGCTGGACGAGGGTGGTGTGGCGCTGGGTGCGGCGTTCGAGGCCGCGACAAGCGAGGACGGAGGAACGGACTTCTCCGCTCCCGGGCTGCAAAGTCGTCGCCCCCGCCTCTTCTCCGGCCTCTGGCGGCGCCCGCCGGTGGCTTCCTCCTTTTCTGTCCAGCTCCCCGCGGGCCTTGGGGCTGCAAGCGGCGAGAAGCGCCGAGGGACGCCGAGAGGTCGCGGCTCTCTGCGGAGGCCCGCGTGCCCGCCACCCTGCTGGGCCTGGGCTCCACGTGAAGGAGGTCGGGCCTGGACCCCGGCTCGCGCGCAGCTTCTAGCGCGCCCCTCCAGCCCCCGGGGCCCGCAGTCTCCCGGGCCGGAGGCCGCGCGGGGGCGGAGGGGGGGCGGGCGCGGCGGCGGCGGCGGCGGCGGCGGCCAGTGCTCGGCCTGCGGCTCCCTGCGGCCGGAGGAGCAGACGGTGAGTGTGAGTGTGTGTGTGCGTGCGCGCGCGTGTGTGTGGCGGGAGCCGCGGCTCGGGGAGGGGGGCTGGCGGCTGCCTGCTCGTCTCTCTCCAGGGCGGGGATTTGGCTGGGTGCTTGCCGGGCTCTCGGCGGACCGAGCGCAGACTCGGGGCCCGGTATCCGGGGCTGAAATCTGGGTTTGCGCGGTCGAGTTGAGCTGTCAGACGCGCCTGCTCCTCGAGGGTGACTCGAGTCGGAAGGTTATTGGCCCCCGATCCCGGGGATGGAGCCGAAATGTTAGGTGCTGTGAACCCAGCAGGTCTCGTCTCTTGCTTTGTCACAAAATGGAAATCTGTGCGTTAGGATTGTTTCCCCTTCTCTTCCGTAATTAGCATCTAGCTGGCTCTTACTTGTGCTTACTCTGCGCCCAGTAATTGTTCCTTGTCTGATTTCATCTTCCCAGCCCAGAGAGGTAGGTGGGTATGTTTTCTCCCCATTTTACAGACGAAAAGTTTGAGGCTCCGAGAGATTAAGGCAAGCATTTGCCTGAGATCGTGCAGGTAGCCATCGGGGAAGCCTTGCTCACCTACATCCACGTCTTTCTGTAGGACCGCATTTCTCTGTCTTGTGAAAGTTAAAAAAAAAAATAGATATGCGAGGAAGACGAGGGTAAGTGGATAGTTTTTTCCTGGGTGTAAATTCTCAACACGAAGGTAGATCTAGGTGTTTTTATTAAACTCCCTCCCCCATGCAGGATGGCCGATCATTTTCTTGATTTTCAAATACATCACTAAAAAGTGGCTCCAGGCACGTTTACCTTTTATGTGGTAGGACTGGGCAGAGAACATTTTTCCTCTTACAAAAAAGAAGGAATATACCTGGTAAAACTGCATATGTTTTGAGAAATTACTTTTCTTTTGCAGTTTGATAGTGAGGCGTCCCAGGGAACTCACAGTTGGGTGATTTGCTTGAGATTTCCTTATTGCAAAATGTGTTCTTGGATTATGTGGCAATGTTAACACACTAATTTTGCGTTGTCTTATGCAATATATTTTGGTCAAAATTTAATGTGTGGAATATTGCAGCAAGTTATCTTTTGACGGCGTGATGTTTTTTTTTCTCAGCATTTTATTTCTCTTCTGTGTATAACGCTACTGATCAGTACCTACTGTCTCACTGGAAATTGGCATTTTCACATTGTACTATATTGTTTCTTTCACTATGGGTTAGTGAATAAACAGAACCCAAGCTCTCTACTTACACATAAGAAAATGGAGATAAATTCCTTCGAGTATTTGAAGTATTCTGTAATTTCACTCGTATGTTATCAGGTCCAACAAAATATTTGATTGAATGCCTGTTGGATTTATAGTCGAATGCCTGTAGGAAAAGTTCACATTATGAAGTTAACAAGTTTATAGACTGATTTTTGTTGTTTAGTCGAAATGTAAACATATGTGAGTCTTGTTGAATTAGGTTGAATATGACACCATTGCAGTTACTTAATCATGTTCTCTATGTATTTTGTTTTGAGAGAACTAGCTGTTAAAGTTCTATTTAAATAATTGTTTTACATTATAAACTGAATCTTTAAAGCAGTTTTTTTAAAAGGACTTTCTGGTTTACTTTATTGCTACCAAACAGCAAAAACGTATTTCATAGGTCCTGAAAATAAAGTCATTTTAGTGTTCTCGTATTTCCTTAAATTTTGCTTTCTCTGAAATTTTTTTCCTTGTACAATTGAAATTCTTTACCTTTTAGTACGAAAAGATTTCAAGCATATAGGAGATCTGTAATAGTTACCATATAACTCTCTAGAGCCAACATTTGTTGGTATCTTGCCATATTTGCTTATCTATGAATATGTGTGTATTATTTTTAGCTGAACTATTGATACTCAACTAACAGGACACTTTCCCCTTAAACATGTCATTGTACATCTAAAGATAAGGACATTTTCTTACATATCTAAAATATTGTTAATCATAGAGTCATACTCTTTAGTGTAATCTATATTTAAGTTTTTAAGTTCTTCCATTTGTACTGAGAAGTCATTTCTTTCCTCCTTCCCCCTTCCCCTTTCTCCCCCCCCCTCCTCCAGCGTTTGGTGCTGTTTACTTGAACTCAGGGTCTGGGTGCTGTCCTTAAGCTTTTTCGCTCAAGTCTAGCATTCTACCACTTGCCATAATTCCACTTCCTGATTTTTTAAAAAAAGATACCAAGATGACATTTGTCTTAGAAAATCATTCTGTACTTGAGGTGTCAGATATTTTCCCTCTCCCCCTTACACTAGCTGTTAGCTGTAAACTAGGTTTAAAGAGTTGATTAGTTTCAAAGTAAACACTTGGGACAGGAGTACAGTGATACCTTGTACTTTGTACAGTCTCCTAGCAGGTGACATACACTGAATCCACTGTAATTAGCAAGTAATCTATTCTTGTGAAAAATTAGCACAGTGACACTAGCCTTTTAAAGATTTAAAGATTTAAGTTTTAAGATTATTTCATGTCTTCATTTCATGATGATTGTATTAACAAATATTTATGGGTAGAGAATGAATTAATGAATTTCTGATGATGAGATGTATTAATTACTGTTAAAGTTGAACCTCATTTTTATTAAGTCAGATAGAAATATACAGAATCAACTATAAAATTAACTTTATTTCCTAACTAATTGACAGTAGGTGATAGTTCTAAAGAAAGCTTTGTAATAGGATTTCACTAATGAACACATTCCATTAAAATGTGATTTCAGTCATGAAACAGTTTATATGAGGTTTTTCACATATCTCTTTAAAATCAAGATAAATCATATATATGGAAATGAAGAGACTTTCTCTTTACAAACATAAAAGCATGTCTATATAATTTTGCCTGTGTCTTGGATATCCTTGGAACATGAGTTGACTGTATTTCTTCTGGTGGTTAATCACATGTCTGCTATGTAGTATCTTCAAAATTGTTGCTTTTCTTGTTACTCAACTCTTAGATTGTTGCTTTTTATGTGGGTATTGATACTATGTCCACCCAGCTCATGGGATAGGAATAAAATCTGTTGTAGATTTCCTACTGTAACTAGAATAGTGATTTTCTTAAACTGCTCAACTGAGTTACCTGTTTGCAATTCATAGTGCCATAAATTTTAAAAGCACTATGTGGCTTATATACTTGGGAATTTTTTTCCTCCTCCTCCTTCTTTTTTGTCAGTTGTGGGGCTTGCACCCTGGGCCTGGATGCTGACTCTGAGCTCTTCAGCTTGAGGGCTACCACTTGAGTCACAGCGCCACTTCCAGTTTTCTGGAAGTGATTTAGAGATAGGAGTCTTATGGACTCTCCTGCCTGGGCTGGCTTTGAACTGCGGTCCTCAGATTTTAGCCTCCTGAGTAGCTAGGATTTCAGGTAGGGCTTGGGATTTTATTTATTTATTTGTAAAGATATTCCCTTCTCCCCCTCCTCATGCTTCTAAGTACTCTGCATACTGCCTCTCCCATCATACAACCCACATGCACTGTACTTATCTCTGTATCTTTCAGTAGGAAAGTAAGTTCTTCTGGGACAGAGGTAATGTTTGGTTGATTTATGTAATCCAACACCTGGCACAGTATTACAGTGTTATAAGAAAAAATGCCTACCAAAATCACTGGTTATTTACACAAGTTTTTTTTGAGTCTACTGACTTTCATTTGTTTCTTTTTCTCCTTCATGCTATTATTTTACTTTATTTAGGAAAGTTAAACATAATTTCCTACATTGTAGGCATTGATTTAAAAACTACTTTAAAGAATTTAACTCATTTAATCTCTCCACCAATTCAATCTATCAATGTTAGTATGTCTACATTGCAATGAGGGAACCAAGTTCAGGTACCTGGTGAAAGTAGAACTTGAATTGTTTGACTCCAGAATTTGTGCATCTAATTGCTGCCTTCTGCTTTATCAGGACAGTGAAAAAAATGGGCTTAATTTTACCAAAGTACTAGGTCTTGTGGATCATAGAATATCCATCCAATGAATGATACAGGGGTGGGTAAGATGCCTTCCGAAGACTTGAAGAATTGAAGGCTACGATTGAACTCATCTAACAAGCTCTATACCTTGACTGCTTATATTTCCTGGAAAAAAAAAATACAGAAAAGATAAAGAAAATAAGGCTAGTAAATAGCTAAGAGATGTGAGCTTGGGAGGCAGACCTGAATGTGAAATTCAGTGCCATTGTCTAAGCTAACCTTCAGTTTATTTTATGAAGTTATCCTCTATAAAATAGGGATAATAGTGCCTAATTCATATGTTTATTAAGACTGCTTAGCATACAAGTGTTTAGAAAACCATAATCAGAAGCTGGGCACCAGTACCTCAGGCCTGTAATCCTATCTGCTCAGGAGGCCAAGTTCTGTGGATTGTGGTTTGAAGGCAGCTTTTGCAGGAAAGTCTGTGAGACTTTTATCTCTGTTAACCACCAAAAAGCTAGAAGTGCAGCAGTAGCTCAAAGTGGAAGAGTGCTAGCCTTGAGGGAAAAAGCTCAGGGATAGCACCCAGGCCCTGAGTGCAAGTTCCAAGATGAGCCACACACACACACACACACACACACACACACACACACACACACACACACACACACACACACACACACACACACACACACACACACACTCATGCACACACAAACCCACAAGTAGTTAATCTTCCATAATCCACACAAATCATGTATCATGTTTGTTTTGATGTATATAGAAGCTGGCATATTTAATATGGCTATAAGTAATAGTGTCCAGTTTAATAAAAAAAAGTCAGGGAGAATAAAAATAAACATTTTACTTTGTATATTTTATTTTACTTAAAGTGTAAAACAGTCTGAATATTTGAACCATCTAGGCCTCTATAATTTTCCTGCTCTTCACAGTTGGCTTACCAATATCTAATTTAACAGTGCTATGGTTTTTTTTGGAACCTAGCCATTTTCATAGAAACAACTTTCTTTTAGAAACAACTTTCTTTTGATTATTGACAGTCTCAATG